ATAACAAAATGCCATAGAATGGTTGGCTTACAAACAGCAGAAATGTATTTTTCACAGGAGGTAAGTATCAGTGTGGGTGAGTTCTCTCACCAGAGAAGTAAGTACCTCTCACCAGAGGCTGGAATTCCAAGGTCAGGGTACCAGTATGGGTGAGTTCTACTGAGGGCCTTCCTCCTGGTTACAGTCTAGAATCTGATTATGTCTTCACAGGAAGAAAAACAATAGCAGAAAGTATTTCTGGAGCCCCTTTTTTAAGGGCACCAAGTCATTTATGAGAGCTCCACCCTCATGACATCACTTTGGGGGTTAGGATTCAGTGTAAGATTTTTTTGAAGGAAAACAAACATTGATTCCATTGACAAATCTGCATACTTTTGGATACTGATGCATGATATGGGGTGCCCATGAAGTCTGGCTCCTCTGAAGAGTTCAAATTAGTAGATTATCAGAGGAAGCAAGATTATTAAATAAGGATAGCCTCATATAACTGATAAGAAAATCCCTTGGCTTCATTTTTGAATAAAGGAACTTTGGGAAGAGATTGTGAAGGAGGAGGGACAGGTCAACATGATAAATGGTTCAGAAATGTCCAGGGAGGTTCAAGACTGAGCCCAGTGGTTGGGCAGTCAGGACATCATTGTTGATTGCAAGAAAAGAGATAAAGAAGAATAGTGGGACTGTCCAGTTTCTGTGGTGGATTCCTCCACCACACACTCTTCTGACATTTCTCACCTCAGGTCCCAAAGAGTGAAGCCAGCCATCTATGGACTAAAACCTTTGAAACCATGAGCCCCCAAATAAACTTCCTCCTCTAATTATCCTTGTCAGGTCTTTTAGTCATGCAATGAAAAAGCTTACTGAAACATGTGCCTGGACAAAATTGGAGGTACTATAATCAATAGTTTGAGGGAACTGCAGAATTTTGGAAATCTTTATATTAATTCTCTTACTATTTAAAGAATAATGAGAGATCTAAGATGGAAGGCAGTGGTCTAAAACCCAACCTAGTGAAGGACTTTGAACAGGCAAGTAAATTGGGATAACTGATAGAGTTCAAATATGGAGAAGGTGGAGGCTTTGTGTTTAAGGCTCAAGAGGACTGGCTTCTCACAGAGAAGGAAAAAGAAAGATCAATAATGGGAAGATGCAGAAATCTTTGTAGAAGCCCTGGCAAAGATACTTTGTGTTAATCAGCTCTTTGTCATTGTGACCAAAATATGCAACCAGCACAACTTAGAAGAGGAAAATTTTATTTATTTATGTATTAATTTTGGGGGTGGTACTAGGGATTGAACTACTGAGCCACATCCCAGCCCTATTTTGTATTTTATCTAGAGACAGGGTCTCACTAAGTTGCTTAGAGCCTTGATTTTGCTGAGGCTGGCTTTGAACTCATGATCTTTCTGCCTCAGCCTCCCAAGCCACTGGGATTACAGGTGTGTACCACTGCACCCAGCAGGAAAAGTTAATTTTGGCTCCTGGTTTCAGAGGTTCAGTCCAAGGTCAGCCAACTCCTGAGCTGAGGTGAGGCAGAGCATCATGGCAGAAGGCATGGTACAGGTGCCCCCAAAGACCCATCTCCCACATGGCACCCCACCTGGCTACAGATGTGAGAAGGGAATTCTATAGTCTTGGAGAATTTGTTCACTAAGATAGTCCCTTTCACTAGTAACTAATGAATTTCTGGAAATCTATTCAAACGGCAAAAGTATAAGGATAAAAAACATTGCAGATATTATAAAGGGTTCTCTTTACTAGCAAAAAGAAATGATTGCAAAATTCCTCATTATGGTTTCTTGCAACCCCAGGCTCCTTGAGGATTTTTCAGCCAGGGAAGCAAGACAGTTACAGTCTCCCAGCCCCCACCCTGCAACCCTAAGTAGGAGATGGCTGCAGGTGTCAGGCCACCCAAACTGATTATCATCATCATACTAAGTTGGAACAGAGAAAGGGAACAAGGATCGTTTTTTTTTTGTTGTTTTTTTTTTTTTTTTTTTTTTTTTTTGCTTTATAGAAGATCTGGTTGTGTTAATTCACAAAAGGGGTTGAGGCTATCTGCAGAAGTGAACTGTCCCTACACCTGCATCTGGTAGAGCAGGGTCCAGGCACTTGGGACATGACCCCCAGCCTCCTTCATGAGTGCCATATGTGGAGAGGCAGAGGTCAAAGATGATGCTTTTTGGTATAGGTGGGGTAGACGTTGAGACCACGAGCTCCCAAGACCTTTGTGTCGGTTTTGTTAAGCAGCTGAGAGCACCACTCTTCTCTGTCGCAACTATCATCTCTCTATAGATGATGACTCAGTCTGAGATTCAACGTATAAAAGGTAGTTGAGGGCATATAAAGGTAGAGTGCATAACTGGGCAAACTGTATGTAATTAAAATGTACTTGAAGTTTGAGGAAAGCTGTATGTGCTAGGGACATTTGCAAATGAGGATAGTCCTAACTAGATATGCAACCAAGAAAATCTGTACTCTCCATCTATGACTGGGGGATGAATTGCTTGCTCAAGAGCTTCACTTTTTCTGCAGGTCAATTAAGAAAGCACCCAGGGCTGGGGATGTGGCTCAAGCGGTAGCGCTCTCACCTGGCATGCATGCGGCCCGGGTTCGATCCTCAGCACCACATACAAACAAAGATGTTGTGTCTGCCGAAAACTAAAAAATAAATATTAAAAAATTCTCTCTATCTCAAAAAAAAAAAAAAAAAAAAAAAGAAAGCACCCAGCGTTTCCTGACTTTCTATTCTCCATCCTGCAGTTTCTAGATGAGTCTAACTTGCTCTCTGCAAAGTGTTTAGCAACATAAGTTAAAGAGCATGGGCTTTGGAGTCAGCTTGCTTGGATAAATGCTGAAGCTAGCTGTCATTCCCTTGATTAGAGCCACCATTCCATCCCCTCCTCTGATCTTCTGAAAAATCACCTATTCCTTGAAAGTTGTATGTATGGCCCCCTCTTTCACTTCCTTTATTGAATTTGTTTTTGAAAGTCTTTGAAAGTTCACTTCCTGCATGAATGCTTCACTGCCAGAGGGAGAGGTGGCCAACTTGCCTTCCTTATTTAAACATGGGACTTCCATCCCCCACTCCAGCCAAAGCCACATCAGGACTGTGTGTTGTGAGGCAATTCGGGGCGGGGAATTGGGGTATACACAAAAAAAGTTTTTGTTTCTGTCTTGAGAAAATACTGCTCTTGAAAGCAGCAACACACTAAAAATCAAATGATGGCTTCCATTTCACAAGTGAGTTAGTGTGCTTTTGCAGTTTTTTCCTTTTTTCTGATAGATACACAATCTTTTCCCTCTGAGAAGCAAAGAATTTCTCTGCTTATTCTCCTTTCTCCCTTGCCCCCAGTCCTTTTATTCTTTGCTGTTCTTTCTTTCTTCCTTTGCTCCCTTTAAAAATTTGATCTGCCTCCTTTATTACCCACGTTACCTAAGAGGGGAAAAAAATAGAGGGACCTCTTTCCTGTAGTCATTTTACAAGAATCACATCTATAAGGGTGTGACTTAACAGGCATCACTAAGTACCATTTCACTAATTCTTTTGTGCATTGTTTAACAGGTGCCCTATTGTACCTGGCACTGTATTAGGCACTTGCTCTTCCTTGCCTTAGAAAACTAAGTTGTGGGTTTAAATTTTGTTTAATTTTCCTGCTTCAGAAATTTAAAAATACTACCAGAATCTGATGTACCCTTTTCTTCCACTTGGCAAGATATAAATGACTTCATGTATTTTTAGTTAGTTTATTCTTTACTGCTCAGGGTGTAGAAAAAAAGAGCCAAGAATTAGGGTTGAGGCAAAATTAGGGTTAGATTCCGGCAATCGGTGTGAACTTAGACAAATTCATACACTTTTGAGCTTTCATCAGTTAATGCAGATAATTAAAACTACAGCAAAGAGAAGTGAAATTCAATGAGAAAAAGAGAAGTGTTTTCCACAGAGTTTCTTGCATTGTGCTGTTTTAGTTTATAAGTCTTTGGGGGATGGATTATAAAATCATTAATCGAATTGCAAAATTATGAATAATTCATAGAAAAAGTAAACACATTATGGTAGTAGAGATGGCAAACATGTAATCCGAACACATTCAGGTGAAGCCATTTGTTGATTTTGCAGCAGGGTATTCACTTGCAGGGCAATCCTTCATTTGCTGCTGTTCTGAGCTAGGGAAATTTTGCAGTGAAAATTCATAAGTCGGTATTTCTAAGGCACTTTGTTCTTTCATGGGGAATTTCTTCTTGCCCCAACAAAAAGTTATGGTAACATATTTGCATATTAATATTTGTGAGATGAACTGTGGAAAACCCAACTTGTTAGCCATGGCAGAGACCTTTGGCAAGTTACACTTCTCTGAGCAAAACTTTTTGGAGCATACTGCTTATACACACGCGTTTGTGTATGAACTAAGCATAGTAGGTATTTCAAATACCTGGCACATGATTGACAATCAACATTATTTTCTCCTTTCCCTGGTCACCCAGGCAGGTCACAGGAAAATGATCCTTATACATACCCAGCACCTGTTGGCGGGCCAGGCACTAGGCTAGGCCCCTCACAGGCTTGGCTCATTTAATTCCAGCAACAATCTTAGGAAGGTTACAGAAGCAGTTTGGAAACCTGAAGCTAATGAACGTTAAACTTTGGGCTCGCTCACTGGTACCCAAGCGACCTCCTCCAGCCAGGTGTTTCAAAAGTTTCAGGCGCGCAACACGTGGATTCGCTCCTGGATAAGTATTATCACTGTCTCTGCAGAAAGGGGTGAAAAGTGACCTAAACTCGGGCCCTTGCCAAGCAGTGGCGCAAGACCAAAGGCAGCCTGACTCTAGGCCACACTCTTAACCGCCCAAGGTGATGAAAACAGTCTCGTGGGAAAGACAGAGTGGCAAACGCGGGGGCGGATAATAATCGCGCACCGGTCCCCAGGGCGGCTACCGTGAGCAGGCTGGGGTCAGGAGGGATCACCCCGCCGCGGCGCCCGCCCCTTCTTCCCCTTCCCCTTTTCCGCGCGGCCGAGTCACAGCCGCGCAGCTCGCCCTGCAGCCGCCCGACCCTCCCGTTGCCCTCCAAGTTCGACAGACCCGGGTCTGAGAACTTTCCAAGTGGGGAAACTGGGCGGCGAGTCGCGGGGAAGCGCAGGTGAGGGGCAGGCGGGGAGGTGGCGGGAGCAGGAGCGCAGCGCTCCGACGGGCGCGCCGGGCGTCGCAGTCCCCAGGACCACAGGTGTCCACGTGCGACAGGCCTGGCGACACTGTCCTATTGAGGCTGTCGCCCCGCGTCCCGCGCGGCGACCAGGGGGACTCTGGCTGCCGCCTTGGTGCGGTTCGACGTGCTTCCCTTTTCTCCAGCGTTGGCTGTTCGGGGTCCTGGGGAGGGCGGGGCGGGTGACGTGCGAGGCGGGGAGCCGCCACCGTGCGCCCGCCCCGCGGTCCCCGCAGGGGGGCGTGTTTTGCGGTCTCCCGAGTCCGCGCGCGCGGAGGCGGGGCAGGGGGCGAGGGGCGGTGTCTGCGTTGGCCGCAGGCGGATAATTTCTGAACCACCCAAACGTGAGAATTTCAAGTTCCGGCGTAGTCGGTCCCCTGAGAGACTGAGTTGATGGGAAGAAAGTGGCCAAGTGGCGCCCGGGGAAGTCCCCGCAGATTTCAGGAGGAAAGGAACTAGGGGACCGATGGCGCGTAGAGATTGATGAGGGATGCGTGCTCTTGCGTGTCGGGCGGGACGTGTTTCCCTCCACCGAGGTCCTGGTGACTTCGGCGGGTGCACAGCTGTGTGGTGTTTATATGGGTGGCGGTGGTTCAGTGTAGAGGACCTTCGCTAAGGGGAAGGATGCCTTGGGTGCTAATTTGATTTACCAGATGTGCCAGAGGTTGGGGACCTTTGGAGCCACCCGTTTTATTGAAATAGTTGTGACACCTGTGTCAGTAACTCTCATGTATTGAGCAGTGGTTTAATTTCCCCCCTTGAGGGGCTGCGGATCGAACCAAGGACCCCGCACACGCAGAGCAGCACCACCACTAAGCTATATACCCAGCACCTGTTTGACCACTTTGATTACCAGAATAACTCCACGTTTTCGGGGAAGATTGATGACATTACAGGGCTTGTGTTTGTTGCTGGGCTGTCTTGATCTGAGGCGCCTCCCAGAAACACCTGAGAGCTTTTCAAGGTCCACCTGTTGCGCCCACCCCAGAGGTTCTGAATCAGAAGCTGAAGCCCATGGTGTGCGTTTTGAGAAAAGCTTCTTGGGGGATTTTGCTGGGACCCCCCCCCCCAGGTGGGAACCAGGAGGTAGTCGAACTGGGTTCCACTCAGAGCGACCTTAAACACGTTTAAAGCACAATGTTTTCTCATCTGTGAGATAGCCTCTAAGAACTCATTATCGAGGTAAAATAGTACTCTGTGTAGGGAAGTGTGTGGATAAGGGAGAAATCAGAATAAGGTTCAGGTGGCAACAGACTAGTGCTCTGGTTCTGCCAGTGTGTTTGGGAGAAGCTAGCGTTTGTAAAGAGTGCCCTTGTTGGGAGGAGTAGGAGGGTGTTTTGTTTTAACCTGGGATTGAACTCAAGGCTCTCGACCACTGAGCCACATCCCCAGCCCTATTTTGTAATTATTTTGAGACAGGGCCTCACTGAGTTGCTTAGCACCTTGCTTTTGCTGAGGCTGGCTTTGTGATCCTTCTGCCTCAGCCTGCTGAGCCCCTGGGAGTACAAGGGTGCCGCCACCGTGCCCGGCTAGGAGGGTGGTTTTCAGGTGAACAGATATGTGACAAAGTAAACTGTAATTCAGAAAATCACTATAATCCAGGTGAAACGAGCCAGTTCCCCTTCAGAGGACAGCTTGAAAAATGCACCATATATGTTTTCTCTTAAGAACCAAAGTCTTAGCTGGGTGTAGTGCCTCAGGCCTTTAATCTCAGTGGCTCAGGAGACTGAGGTTGGAGGATCATGAGTTCAGGGCCAGCCTCAGCAATTTAGATCCTGTCTCTAGATAAAATATAAAAAAGGCTGAGGATGCAGCTCAGTGATTAAGCGCCCTTGAGTTTAATCCCTGGTACCGAGAAAACAAACAAAACAAAGGCTTTAGAGTGTTTTTCCTTTGGTCAAGAGTCAGGACTCACCTGATTGTTCTGCCCTAGAGTAACCCCAGTCTGTCTGAAAGCTACATCATGTTTTTGCTAAATGCGAATTTCTTTTCCATCATTTAACAGACACATGTTGATGATCTTCATGTACCGGGCATTCTCGGAATTCAAAGATGAATAAAATATTTTTGTCCTAGCCCTCTCATCCAGGGGAACAACAAGACCAGTGCAAAAACATCCTATAATATAACCTGGTTATGATACTAATAAAAATATAGAATAAACACAGTGCCCTATGCCTCAGAGAGGGGAGCAGCTCCCTAGATCTTGGGTGGGGGTGGGCATCCACAGGCAACAACATGAGCTGGGTAAATAGGGCCCTTCTGTAAAAACTATGCATACAGCTTAAGTTTCTTGTGTGTGTGTGTGTGTGTGTGTGTGTTTTCAATCTGATAAAATTCAAGTGTAATCATATACTGATAATCTAAAATGGAAATGACTGGTTTTCATGATGACTCTTCATGATGACTCTTCTTAGGCATTCTGACATTTTAGGTTTGTAAAATCTCAGCTATGTCTAAAGTTAACCCAAGAAAGGGTTTTTTTTTTTTTTAATTCAAATGTGTCATGTTCTTACTAAGTAGTTCCACATGAAAATAATATTTAGACAAATTTGATTACATGCACGTTTAAAAGTTGCAAGTTGCTTTAATTTTTCTCATTGAGTTAACTCCAAAAATTTAAAAAGTGATAGTAGAGAGGGGCACAAAAGGAAAATGGAAGCAGGAATAAAAGGGGACCATGTAGAAAAGGGAGGTGGGGAGGAGAATGAACTTTGTTAGAATTAGAAGTGGAGGTGAGAAATGAGTGAATCAGATCTGGCAGCTAACTTCTCTGGAGGCTTGTTGTCTTGTACATTTTTATTGAAAGTGTGCATGGATTCATAGTTTTGAAAGTTTTTCAAATGTCTTATAGAGGAAAATAGCATAAGTGGTGGTTGAAGCATGGGCTTGGCCCACCCCCAAGCCCCGTTGGAAGAACTTACACAAGGTCCTTAGTCAACCTCTACTGTTCATTTGTAAAATGGGAAAACAAACTTATCTGCAAGAGACCAGTGCAGATGAATAGTCAGTGATGTTTTGAAGGCACCTGGCTGCAATAAGGCTGTGATCAGGAATGATGGCTGCCCTCGATCTTGGCTCATCTTAAATGGGTCTGGTGGAAGCACCAGCAGGCTGCTCATATCACATTGTCCACCCCCACACCCCCGCTTTACAACTGTAGAAAGAAAGTAGAGTTGGGTGGGATCTGGTGGCTAAAGCCCTGGAACCAATGGGTAGCAGAACCGAACTAAGGGGCTGTGTCTTTTGGAATTTAACCTTGTGTCTGTCTGTGATGTGACAGATCCCCTCTGATCACCCTGAAGTTACAAGGGGCCAAGGCTGTAATGATGGCATCTCTTGCAGTTCTGCTCACTGTCATCTAATACCTCTCAAGTTCTCATTGTTGATTCTTCATAATTGTATTTTTCTTTCCAAGGCTCTTTAGTTTCTTATGGGGAGGAGATGGTGGATAAGCCATAAGGAAGTCATATATGGAAGAACTTTAAAAGGAGGAACCCCGCTCTTCAACTTCCAGTAATGTATTGTTATATTATTAGAAAAATAACTTTTCTTTGCTCAGCAATTTAACTCTTCTCATCTGCAGCTGGAGGTTCCCGTGTCAGAAATTGTATTTCCTTGATTTCTTTGCATATCCCCTTTCACATATTTGGTCCTTATATAGGTAGGAGAGGGGACCATGAATCTGTACAAAAAATTCATTGATATGGGCCATATTTTAGGATGATAATTGGTAACTTTTTGAAATGCAAAAATATGACCAAGAATCCCTTAATTGAAAAATAAGGACACAGAAAAGTGTTAAGAAGGACTTTTTGAAAGTAGTAACCATTTTTTTTTTTCTCCTTAGGAAGGAGCATCCTTAATTGTCATAGATCACCTTCCTAGTGTTAGATGAAGGTGGCCTCCAAGTTCATGTATTTCAAATCAGGGTTTTTGTTTGTTTGTTTGTTTTTATAGTACTGGGGATTAAATCCAGGGAAACCATACTGAGCTACATCCTCAGCCCTTTGTGTTTATTTTTTGGGGGGCAGAGACTTGGTAAATTGCCCAGGCTGACCTCAAATTTGCCATCCTTCTGCCTCAGTCTCCCAAGTAGCTAGAATTACAGATGTGCATCACAGTTCTCAGTTCCCGGCTTCCTATAGCACTTTAACCTTCAGAAAGAATCACAAAGTGTATTGCATCCCAACCATGTGCCTAATACAAGTTGGGTACCACAGGTAGTACGCCAAGGCAAAAGTCGCTTAAGGGAATTATGAGGAAACAACTGGTTGAAATACATGAATATATAAATGCTAAATAGTGCAGCTCAGTCTCCTGAAAGGAAGGGATCAGAGGGCTTTTGTAAGGCTTGAGCCTCATGAAAGAGGAGAGGGAACTTTCCATTTGCTAACGTCATTCTCACTTTTCAAATCCTTGGTCACCCGGAAGTGAGGATGGGGCAGTGAGGTGACATTAGGGTCGGACTGGTGAAAGTAGAGTACTAAGAGCGCTAGGCCTTGAGGCGGGTCTCCCAAATTGGCCCCAGGTGCCCCAGTCGAACGAACACAGGTTTCTTGGGCAGGCTGGGAGCTGGGAAAATGGCAAACTTATTCAGCCAGTAGTAAGGCTCCCTCCTTCTCCCAGCAGGTAATGAAGCTCCAGAGCAGCTGGGGTAGCTATTTGCTGAATACCTTTGCTAAATATATTAAAGATATCTGGGAAGTTAGAGTTGGGGAAAGGGTTGTGGATACTACAGGTTGAGCATCCCTAATCTGAACATTGCAAATCCAGAATGCTCCCAAATCTAAGACTTCTCAAGCACCAACACAGTGCTCCAAGTGGAAGATTCCACATCTGACCTTATGTGATGAGACACAGGCAGGTGCACTAAAAAATATTGTATAAAATTACCTTCGGGCTTTGTGAATAAGGTATCTCTAAGGCATAATGAA